ACACACACACACAGGATGACGCACACACACAGACACAGACACAGACATACACAAACAGACACAAAGGATCAGACAGAGATGTCATTCCCGCCTGCCCTTACCTCACTCTACGCAGTCGGAAAGACTGTCAGCTGGAATCCCTTCGAATACAGAACTGAATAAATATTGATTTCATTTGAGAAGGAACACCACACGATTCAAAAAAAAAAGAAAATAAAAAAGGAAGGCTGTAAAGCAAAAGGAAAAGCAGAAGGAAAATAAAGGGCATAAAAGTCTGTGTGTTGCCGTCCTTGCTGGAGATGCTCCGATTTCATGAGAGAAGTCAAGCACACGGTCTCCCCACCATCATCATCATCAGCGTCGTCATTTTCGACTATCTTCTCCCCCGCTCACTTCTGCGTATTTCCCCCCTCTTCATCCGTACAGACCCACGTACAAGTGGTTCTTTCTTTGTTTATTTTTCTTGCTTTGCGTATTGGCTTCCTTTCTTTTTTTCCCTTTTCGTCCTCCTGCCGCAGCCGCGCATTACATTATATTCATCCGCTTCCCACGCATTTTCCTGTACTCCTCCTCCTCCTCCTCTCCCTGCTGCTGCTGCCGCGGAAGGGGACACACACACACACACACACAGACAGACACACAGGCACCTCTCGCATGGCGGTCGCAGGCGAATGGCACATAAGGACGAGTAATAAACGACGCCATTGTGCCATTCACCGCCACATGCCTCCGCGATCATTTCCTTTGTGTCTGTGTCTCTCTCTCTCTCCCTCCCTGTGTGTGTGTGTGTGTGGCTACTGATGCTGCTGTTGTTGTTGTTGGTTGTTCGCCACTTGTATTCCCCCGCCCTTTGTCCTCCTCTTCCTTTGTGAGCGAGTATGTCAGAATGCGTCAATGTTTCTTTTTTTTCTCTTTTTTTTTTTGCTTGGGTCTTGTTTTTGTTTTGTTTTTGTTGTTGTTGCCGTGAGTATATTGACATGGTTCTTTTTTTTTTTGTTGGGTTTTGTTTTCTTTCGTCATATTTCTTCATTCATTCATTTGTTTGTTTGTTTTTGCGTTCCGCGCCCCTCCTCCTCCCCCCGGCACGTCCGCATTCCCCTAGAATACTAATGGCCGTGTCGATGACTGCCACAATGATGATGATGATGATGGTCACAATAATGATGATGACCACGCCACACACACACACACACACACACACCTTGATCGTTCTACTACAACTCGTGTGTGTCCCCACCCTGCGCCTTCGCCTCATCGGCATTTTCAGGCTGGGCCTCCTCGTCGTTCTGCGCCTCCCCTGCGTTGTCGGAGAGCTCATGCGTGTCGTCCAGCTCCTGGGCGTCATCGGCGTCGTCAGCCGCCTCCAGCTCCACTTCGAAGGCGATTGGATCATCGTCTTGCTCCTCGCTGTGGGGCTCGGCGATCTCCACGAACTCGAGCTCCTCCTCCTGTTGCCCCTGCTGCTTCTCCAGCTCCTCCTGCTGCTGCCGCCTCAGCTCCTCCTGCTCCTGCTCCTGCTCCACTAGCATCGCCTCGTATGGGAAGGCGATGTGCGCGAGCAAGGGGTAGCCGATGCGTGCGGCGCGTGCATACTCGTTGCGCATCTCCGCGATCGTCACGTGCGACTTGCGGTAATCCTCGTCATCGGATGCGCCCTCCTCATCGTCGGCAAAGTCCTCCAACTTCTCCGGCAGCCCAGCGCCGCCAAAGTTCATCGCGCGCAGTTGTTCGAGTCGCAGCTCCTCAGCGGCCCGCTGCGCCGCCTCGTACGCCGCCCGCTGCGCCACCGTGTTGAGTGGCACCGTCTGCTTGAACGTCACCTTCTCGTAGTAGCCGCAGAACTCCGCGAAGTCAGCCTCGTCGGCGAGCGCCTGCAGCTGCTCCGCCGTGACGTCGCGGCTGTGCTTCACGGTGAAATCCACCAACAGCGAACCGAGGGCGAAACGGAAGTTGCTGAAGTTTTTCTCCGGAAGCCCGAGCGCGCGGTTGAGGTCGCGGCAGAGCGCACCCTGCAGGTTTGCGCGGTGCTCGTTGCTCTCCAGCAGCTCCGGCCACGCGTCGCCGGAGAAGCGGAGGCGCAGCTCCGACTCGATGAGATCATTGGCGCGGCGCTGCGCGAGGAAGAGCTTGTCGCGGCCCACTGCCTGCAGCTGGCGGATGCGCCACTGCGTCGTCTCGTGGCGGTGCACGACCTCAGTGAGCAGCGCGTCAAGCTGACGCATCTCCTCCTCATCCTCCTCCGTGAAGTCCTCCTTCTGGCGCAGCTCCTCCATGCGCTGCTTCAGCTCGCGTATCTCCTGCTCTTCGCGTGCCTCCGCGGCGGTGAGGGCCTCGAGTTCGTCCACGTCGTGCACCTCGTTGGCCACGCGTACGGCGTGCTGCAGCTGCGCCACCTCCTCCGGTGTAAGGCGCACGTAGACGTTGTCGTCGTCCTCCACTTCCTCCGCCTTGGCGCCGAAGTTGACGAGCACGCTCTCGCGCAGTATGATCTCCGTCACCGGGCGGCCCTTGTCGGTGCGACGGTAGAAGAAGGAGTCCACCGACGCGGCGCCGTCCTCCAGCAGCAGCGCGGCGAGTGGCGTGTCGCCGCAGATGGCGAGCTTCTTTTCCATCACCTTCTCCCGCACCTCTGCCATCTTTTCGCGCGTGCTATTCACCTCGCGGACGAGGAGCGCCTGCTCCTGGTGCTCGGCGAAGCAGTCATCAACGACCTGCTCCTCCGCCTCACGCGCCTCGGAGCAGAGGACCTGCGTATTCAGCCAGTTGCGCATTGCGTTTTCCAGCTGCGTGCCGCGCGGCATCGGCGTCGACGGGCGCCCGAGGGACAGCCGCCCGGTCGCTTGTTGCTGCGGCTGCTGGGTGATGCTGCTGCGTCGGCAGATGCCGAGCTCCGTGAGGATCTTCTTCCGTCGCTGCTTGGGCAGCGGTGTGGCGGTGCAGTCAAGCTCCATCACGCGGTCCATGAAGTCCGGCTGCCGCATGACCGCCTGCATCGCGTCCCAGCTGGTGGCGCGGTCCTCCTGCAGCACGAGCATCACCGCGCGGCAAAGCGACACGTGGTCGTCCG